AGCAGGCACTGAAGACGGGGAAGCAGAAGCGGGGCAGAGTCAACAAAAGGCACAACAGCTGTAGAAAGGAGAAGCAAGGGAAAAGGGAGAAGCTGAGGCAGACAAGGCAGCAGAATCAGCAGGTACTGAACACGGGGGAAGCAGACGTGGGTGCAGAATCAGCAAAAGGACAAACACCATAAAAAGGAGAAGCACAGGAGCAGTAGTAGCTGAGGCAGAAAAGACAGCAGAATCAGGAGAGACTGGACAGAGGGAAACAGAAGCTGGGCAAAGTCTGTAAAAGGACAAACAGCTGCAGAAAGGAGAAGCACAGAGAAAGAGGAGAAGCAGAACCAGCAGATGCTGCATATGGGGAAGGAGAAGCAGAGGTAGAATTTTTCTAGAGACGATACAAAAATGACCAATAAAAATATGAAAAGATGCTCAACATCACTTAGCATTAGAGAGATGCAAATCAAACCACATAAGATATCACTTCACTCACATCCATTAGGATGGCTATTTTTTTTTTTTTAAGAAAAAGGATAGAAAGGGGAGGTGGGTGGGGGATGGGTATTAAGGAGGGCACTTGTTGTGATGAGCACTGGGTGATGTATGAAAGTGATGAATCAATGAATCCTACTCCTGAAACCCATACTACACTATATATTAACTAACTTGAATTTAAATAACATCTTGGAAGTTATTTAACACTCCACAATTGTTGGTGAAGATGTGGAGAGATTGGAACCGCTGTGTACTGTTGGTGAGAGTAGTACTATTCACAACAGCCAAGAAGTAGAAGCAACCCAAATATCAATCAATGGGTAAATGGATAAGCAAAATGTGCTTATGTGTACATAAGCAAAATACATAATGTGTACATATGTGTGTATATACATATATATGTATATATACACATACAGTAAAACCTTAGTTTGCAAGCATAGTCCATTCAGGAAACATGCTTATAATCCAAAGCACGTGTATATCAAAGTGAATTTCAAGAATCACTGTCTCAGTTGTGATCATGTGATTTTCAGCATCACGTACTACTCATATGGCAAGACATTGCTTGTTTATCAAGTGGAAATTTTTTTTTTTTTAATTTTTTTTCAACGTTTTTTATTTATTTTTGGGAGAGAGACAGAGCATGAACGGGGGAGGGGCAGAGAGAGAGGGAGACACAGAATCGGAAACAGGCTCCAGGCTCCAAGCCATCCGCCCAGAGCCTGACGCGGGGCTCGAACTCACGGACCGCGAGATCGTGACCTGGCTGAAGCCGGACGCTTAACCGACTGCGCCACCCAGGTGCCCCATCAAGCGGAAATTTCTAAGAAATGTTTGCTCATCTTGTGGAACACTCACAATCTGTATACCATATATATACAAATTAGTTTCAACATTAAAAAGTAAGGAAATCCTGTCAGACATTATAGCATAAATGAATCTTGAAGACTATGCTAAGTGAAATAGCTCAGTCACAACAAAACAAATACCATATGATTCCATTTATATCAGGTACCTAAGTAGTCAATGTTAATAGAAACAGAAAATAGGGTGGCTCAGTCAGTTAAGTGTCTGACTCTTGGTTTAGGCTCAGGTCATGACCTCGTGGTTCGTGAGTTCGAGCCCCGCATCGGGCTCCACCCTGACAGTGCAAAACCTGCTTGGGATTCTCTCTCTCTCTCTCTCTCTCTCTCTCTCAAAATAAATCAATAAACTTAAAAAAAAAAACAACAACCCAAAACCAGGAAATAGAATGGTGTCTACCAGAGATTATGGGGAGGGAGAAAGGGTATTATTTAATGGGTATAGAATTTCAGTTCTGCATGATGAAAAAGATTGGCTTCACAATAATGTGAATAAACATAACACTATTGAACATATGCTTTAAAAAAAATTATACATTAAAAAAAATTAATAACCTTCCAAAATGGATCGTATCAAGCCCAGGTGGGTTCACCGAATTATACCAACTATTTAAGGAAGAAATTACACTAATTCTTCCGTATACTAATTATACTAATTTCTCTTTCAGAAAACAGAGGCACAGGGAATACTCCTAACTTATTCTGAGGATAGCATTGCCCTAATACTAAACTAGACCAAGATAAAACAAGAAACCTCCAGACCGATATCTCTCATGAACACAGATGCAGAAATCCTTAACAAAATATTAGCAAAATAAATCTAACAATGTATAAAGAGAATTATAAACTATGACCAAGTGAGGTTTATTCCAGATATGCAAGGCTGGCTCACCATTCAAAAATCGACTGATATAACCCATCACATCAGTAATCGCTAACAAAGAAAATCACACAAACAATATCAATAGATGCAGAAAAAGCATCTGACAAAATCCAACACCCATTCATGATAAAAAATTCTCAGAAAACTAGGAATAGAGTAGAGCTTCCCCAAAAAACTCTAGGCTGACATCATACTTCATAGTTAAAAATAGAAGCTTTTTTCACTAAGATCAGAAACAAGTCAAGATGTCTCCTCTCATCACTCCTTTTGAATATTATATTAAAAGTGCTAGCTTATGCAAAAAGATAAGGAAAGGAAATAAAAGTTATACAGACTGGAAAGGAAGATGGAAATACCTAAAATCAGAAATAAAAGTGAAGACATCTCTACCTACCTGGTAGAAACAAAAAGAATTATAAACAGGAAACTATGAGAAACTGTGTGCCAGCAAATTAGATAATCTAGATGAAACAGACAAAATCCTAGAAACACAAAAGTCACTAAAACTGATTGGAGAAAAAACAGAAAATGCAAACAGTCCTATGACCAGGAAAGAGATAGAAATAAAAAGCTCCTGGGTGCCTGAGTGGCTCAGTCGGTTAGGCATCTGACTTCAGCTCAGGTCATGATCTCGTGGTTTGTGAGTTCGAGCCCCGCATCGGGCTCTGTGCTGACAGCTCAGAGCCTGGAGCCTGCTTCCGATTCTGTGTCTCCCTCTCTCTCGACCCCTCCCCTGCTCTCTCTCTCTCTCAAAAATGAATAAACGTTAAAAAAAGAA